GCCGGTGAAACCAACCATGGTGAGGACACCGCTGGACTGAGGGACAGGTAAGTATCTGTATTTTATAAGTCAGCAGCTACAGTTTTTGTAGCTGCTGGCTTTTATTTATTTTTTTCAGTTGGAACTCCATTTTTAAATATGTAAATAGAAAAAGGAAAAGAAAAAAACATGAGGTTATATATATTACAATTACAGGATTCCTTTCATGGTCCTTCCCCTTTACAAAGTTCTTTGGAGTTCTGTACTCTGGGGGCCTCTAGTGGTTAGTTTACAGAAATACTTTTTAGATGTATTGAATGGGAAGTTCAAATATAAATGAATGGATGAATATAAAGGCAGCTTCATAGAGGGTTGGTTTTCAGAAGTTGGAGTAATATATTATTACTAAGCCAGTTTCAACAAAGGCAGGTCAACACTTGAAAATGTAATAAACGGTGTTGGGCCCATTGACCAGTGCCAACTCTGCTTATTTGGTAATCTGGCACTGTGCCCATGCAGCGCAAACAGGCAAATTTTAATGCCCAGGAGTCCCTGGTGCTGCGTACAGGAGCCCATAGACACGAATGGGTGATAGCAGTTGTATTCAGCTATACATTGCTACTTTTGTAAAGTGGGGCAGGCACACAGATGTAATGCCCTGAACTTGTGTGTATGCAGGTACCACTTAATGCAAGTAGTGACATATAGCTGTGTACAACCTCCTTCACCTATTCATGTCTATGGGTGGCTGTACACAGAGGGGATGCTGGTTACTTAAATACGCTCGCTTATGCTTCATGGTGAACGCACTCATGTTCATGAAGCCTAAATTACTTTCCTGGACTCCCATGGTATCAGTTTGTCTCTTCTTCTGGCCCATCTTTACATACAGGGGTTAGACAAAGAAATGGAAACAATACACGATTTCCAGGTGTGAAAGTGATGACATGTTTCACATTGAGGGTCGCTTCACACCATGCATGTGCGTTTTTGATGCGTTCTGGTTCATTTCCCCCCCCCTTTTTTTATTCAGCTTAACCCCTTCACGCCTAAGGGTTAAAAACAAATCTCAATGCCTAAGCACAATTTTTCAACGTTGACATGTGTTAGTAAAACTGTACATATCATCACAACTACTTTGCACATCCAGGTGAATTATACCGCGTTTTTGTTCAGGACTAATTGGGCTTTCATTTGGTGGTAAATGGTAATGGATATCTCCTGACCCAAAATAGTAAAAAAAAATGTTTCTTTAAATTTTGCTGTGCGTTTCTTGTTACTACCATAACTTACCACCAAAGAACAACCCAAAATAAAATTTTCCAGCTCTTGATTGCAGCGATACCATATTTGTGTGTTATTGTTGCTTGTACCCGTAGTACAGCCCAGAAACAATAGTGTACATTTTGTTTTTTGGGTTATTTTTTTTACCTAAAGCACACTCACACTGATACCAATTTAAAAAAAAAATAAAAAATCCTGACCTTTGACCCTGACCTTTTGACTTTGACCTTGACCCAAACACTTTTCCTGGCACTGAACTAGATCAGACCTTGATCTAGGTATTTTTTATTTTATTGTATAAAATTTATTTATCTTTTTTTTTTAACAAACATTTTTTCTCTCTATGCCAGGAGTTAGAGAGATACAATGTATCTCTCTCTTCCATTCATAGAGAAAAGAAAAAAAAAAAAACCAAGGGGCGGGCTATACAGTGACTGATCACTATGATAGCCAATCAGAGGCTATCACAGCGATCATGTGAGCCGGAATTGGGAGTCCCGGGACCTGGAATTGGGAGTCCCGGATCCCGATCGTTAGAACGGGACCTGAGGCTCTCAGTGACACCCCAGTCTTTGTGCTGGGAGCATGCTGTGCGGCGCGATCCCAGCAGGAAGACAGGTACACAAATATGCGGTCCCACAAAAAAAAGCCCAGTTCTGTGAGTCTGCATATTTGTGTGACGTTAGCGCGAAGTGGTTAGTAAGGAGATGTGTGTTCCTGTGCGATTTTTATGTGTTTTACAGTGTTCCAGTACAGTTCAGTGCAGAAAAAATACAGTAAGTTCTTTTTTTTCTGGAACTGAAACACACTGGAACTGACTGCACTGGTGTGAACAAAGCCTATATAACCTATCCATGCTTTTTTGATGCAGAAAAAAAATGCACTGGACTGCATGTGGTGTGTACTGGCCCTAAAAGCGGATGTAATGTTTTGTTTTTGCTGTGTGATGAGACACCCAGTTAACAGGTGGGGAGCCTCACTTTCCTCATTCACTGTGTGCACTGCTAGTAATACGGAGTCATGTTAGAGCTTACTGAGTTTCAAAGCGGTCAAATTGTTGGTGCCGCTTAGCTGGTGCCTCTGTGACTGAAGTTGCCAATTTATTTGCCGTGCCGCGGGTACAGTATCAAAGGTTATGACGGCAAATACAGTTTCTGGGAAAACGTCGTCTGATATGCATAAGAGCGGTCGATATGGTTAGCTGAGCGAAAGGGACAAAAGAACATTGTGCAGGATTGTGACATGGAATAAGAAAACAACTGCTGCAAAAGGGACTGCAGAGCTCAATCTCAGTCTTCCAAAGCCATTGTCTACAAAAACTGTGTGGAGGGAACTCCATAAGCAAAACATTCACAGGCGAGCTGCAATTGCTAAACCACTAGTGACCAATATTAATGCTCAGAAGAGGATAGAGTAGTGCAGCATCCATAAATTGTGGACAATCGATCAATGGAAGACTAGAATATGGTCCCATGAATAGAGCTTCACACTGTTCCCAACCACCAGAGGTGTTTACGTGTGGCGAACACCATCCCAAGCTTACCACCAGGACTGTCTTGTACCAATGGTAAAGCATAGCGGTGGTGCAATCATGGTTTGGGAAGCCATATCTTCGTATTCTGCAGGCCCCATCATCACCTTGAAAAGTAGAGTCACTGCCAGCAACAATGTAAATTTTGGCTGACCATGTGCATCCCATGGTGCAGACATTGTTTACCGAAGACAGCGCCATTTACCAAGATGATCATGCTCCAATTTACACAGCTGGTGTTGTGATATTGTGGTTTTATGAGCATGCAGGTGAAGTCTCACACCTTCTTCGGACCTCAATGTTATAGAGCCACTATGATCAATTTTGGATTGGCTTATTTTCTGCCTCCGCCATATCTGTAAGAACTGGAACCATTTTTGCATGAAGAGTGGCATCAGATTTCATTATCCACATCCAAGACTTACACTCACCGGTCACTTTATTAGGTACACCTTGCTAGTACCGGGTTGGACCCCCTTTTGCCTTCAGACCTGCCTTCATTCTTCGTGGCATAGATTCAACAAGGTGTTGGAAACATTCCTCAGAGATTTTGGTCCATATTGACATTATAGCATCATGACGTTGCTGCAGATTTGTTGGCTGCACATCCATGATGCGAATCTCCCGTTCCACCACATCCCAAAGGTGTTCTATTGGATTGAGATCTGGTGACTGTGGAGGCCATTGGAGTGCAGTGACCTCATTGTCATGTTCAAGAAACCAGTTTGAGATGATGTGATCTTTGTGACATGGAGCATTATCCTGCTGGAAGGAGCCATCAGAAGATGGGGACACTGGAGTCATAAAGGGATGGACACTTTCAGCAACAATACTAGGCAGGGCCGTGGCGTTTAAACGATTCTCAATTGGGACTAAGTGTCCCAAAGTGTGCCAAGAAAATATCCCCCCACACCTTTACATCACCACCAACCTGAACCATTGATACAAGGCAGGATGGATCCATGCTTTCATGTTGTTTACACCAAATTCTGACCCTACCATCTGAATGTCACAGCTGAAATCCAGACTCATCAGACCAGGCAATGTTTTTCCAATCTTCTGTTGTCCAATTTTGGTGATCCTGTGTGAATTGTAGCCTCCGTTTCCTCTTCTTAGCTGACAGGAGTGGCACCTGGTGTGGTCTTCTGCTGCTGTAGCTTTCTGCTTCAAGGTTCGATGTGTTGTATGTTCAGAGATGGTATTCGGTATACCTTGGTTGTAATGAGTGGTTATTTGAGTTACTGTTGCCTTTCTATCATCTTGGACCAGTCTACCCATTCTCTTCTGACATCAACAAGGCATTTTCATCCACACAACTGCAGCTCAAAGGATATTTTCTCTGTAAACCCTAGAGATAGTTGTGCGTGAAAATCCCAGTAGATCAGTTTGTTTTTTAAGTACTCAGGCCACCAATAACCATGCCAAGTTCAAAGTCACTTAAATCCCCTTTCTTCCCCATTCTGATGCTTGTTTTGAACTTCAGCAAGTTGTCATCACCACGTCTAGATGCCTAAATGCATTGAGTTGCTGCCATGTGATTGGCTGATTAGCAATTTGTGTTAGCAAGCAATTGAAGGTGTACCTAATAAAGTGGCCAGTGAGCGTATATTCAATTCCCAGGAGAATTCAGGCTGTCTTGGGGGCCAAGGTGGTCCAACACAACATGAGGAAACAATTTTTTCCCTGGCATTTCCATGATTGTGTCCAACCCCTGTATGCCCTCCACTATTCATTCCTCATAGCAGCGAACTGACAGTCCATAGATACAATTTGGTTCCAGTACCTGGCAACTAGAGGCTCCTCCTACGCAGAGAATTCCTCCCTCAGACGTGTTCGACGCCGGCTCTTCAAAACACCCAGGCGGCCATCTTTGCTGAGGTAACCCGTCCGCATCTCAAATTATGAGTCGATTAACGGCGACGGCGTAATGGATTTAAACAGTGCGAAGGTACATCCGGTGTAGCCTCGTAAATCATTCGTTACACTGTTTTGCTTTCTGTAGGCTCACCTTGTGAAGGATTGAGGCGGGTTTCTTCAGCTGCCCCTTCTCAAGATGGCTGCGCTGAGCCGGCGGACGTGACGACCGGACGTAGAACGAGTACGGGATGACGCACGGTTGCGGCATGCCTTGTCCTGCAGTTGCCGATTCATTGTAGAGATGGCGGTGAACGGGGCGGACGGAGCCGGGATCAGGCAGGTGGCCGCCATGTATGAACAGCTGAAGGCGGAGTGGAATAAGAAGAGCCCCAACCTGGGCAAGTGCGGAGATGTGCTGGGCAAGCTGAAGGTGAGGGAGCGGCCACGGTCCCTGATCGTGGGGTGTGGGGGGGCTCAGGCTGGGGTATATACAGGGGGCAGCTCAGTGGTAGTGTGGACACACATAGATCCAACCCAACACCTGTGTAGTGTGATGGGGGAGGGGCTAGGACACATGTAAACAAAACGTATGTCCAGCAAACTAAACCCCCCACACTAAGGGACCCATAGATATGAAGGTGGTTGTGGGGACACACAGATCCAACCCAACACCTGTGTAGTGTGATGGGGGGAGGGGCTAGGACACATGTAAACATAACATTGTATGTCCAGCAAACTAAACCCCACACTAAGGGGCCCACAGACATGAAGGTGGTTGTGTGGACACGCATGGATCCAACCCAACACCTGTGTAGTGTGATGGGGGAGGGGCTAGGACACATGTAAACAAAATGTATGTCCAGCAAACTAAACCCCCACACTAAGGGGCCCACAGACATGAAGGTGGTTCTGGGGACACATATCCAACCCACCTGTGTATTGTGTGATGGGGGAGGGGCTAGGACACATGTAAACAAAACATTGTATGTCCAGCAAACTAAACCCCCACACTAAGGGACCCACAGACATGAAGGTGGTTGTGGGGACACACATAGCTCCAACACCTGTGTATTGTGTGGGGGGAGGGGCTAGGACACATGTAAACAAAACATTGTATGTCCAGCAAACTAAACCCCCACACTAAGGGACCCACAGACATGAAGGTGGTTGTGGGGACACACATAGCTCCAACACCTGTGTAGTGTGATGGGGGAGGGCTAGGACACATGTAAACAAAATGTATGTCCAGCAAACTAAACCCCCACACTAAGGGGCCCACAGACATGATGGGGCACTCATCGGCTGTGGTGTCCGGATTGTACAGTCACCTCACGTTATTAGGAGCCCCCAACACCCCCTTCCTTCCTGGTATTATGGAACGTCAAGCAGGCGGCTCAGAATTAGCCCTCCGCCACACAGACGTTCTATAGCAAACACACATGGAGGGTCGCGTCTGCCCGTGCATGGATGTACATGTGTTCCGTGTGTGCAGGCAGTCTCAGTCATGTCAACTGGGAAGCAGCGGCGGCACGGACACAGTTGCTGCTCCTGATTTGACATCTGTACGGGGGAACGGCCCCGAACGCAGACAGTGTGAGTTCAGGGAAACGTACCTACATGGCTGTCAGATCAGGAGCAGCAACTATGTCCGTGCAGCCGCTGCATCCCAATTGATGGTATTGCCTGCACGGGGAAGCATGGAACACCTGTACATCCCAGTGTGGGCAAAAGTGGCCCTCCCTGGATTTACAGTGGATATAAAAAGTCTACACACCCCTGTTAAATGTCAGGTTTCTGTGATGTAAAAAAAAGAGACAAAGATGAATCATTTCAGAACTTTTTTCACCTTTTAATGTGACCTATAAACTGTACAACTCAGTTGAACAACAAACTGAAATCTTTTAGGTGGAGGGAAGTAAAAATAAAAAAACTAAAATAATTTGGTTGCATAAGTGTGCACACCCTTACACTAATACTTTGTTGAAGAACCTTTTGATTTGATTCCAGCACTCAGTCTTTTTGGGGATGAATCTATCAGCATGGAACATCTTGACTTGGCAATATTTGCCCACTCTTCCTTGCAAAAACACTCCAAATCTGTCAGATTGTGAGGGCATCTCCTGTGCACAGCCCTCTTTAGATCACCCCACAGATATTTGATCGAATTCAGGTCTGGGCTCTGGCTGGGCCATTCCAAAATTTAAGTTTTCTTCTGGTGAAGCCATTCCTTTGTTGATTTGGATGTATGCTTTGGGTCGTTGTCATGCTGAAAGATGAAGTTCCTCTTCATGTTCGGCTTTCTAGCAGAAGCCTGAAAGTTTTGTGCCAATATTGACTGGTATTTGGAACTGTTCATAATTCCCTCCACCTTGACTAAGGCCTCAGTTCCAGCTGAAGAAAAACAGCCCCAAAGCATGATGCTGCCACCACCATGCTTCACTGTGGGTATGGTGTTCTTTTGGTGATGTGCAGTGTTGTTCCTTGTTGTTCTTGTGTCAAACATATCTTTTGGAATTATGACCAAAAAGTTCACCCTTGGTTTCATCAGACCAGAACACATTTTCCCACATTCTTTTTGCAAAATTTAGTCAGGCTTGGATGTTTTTCTTTGTAAGAAAAGGCTTCTGTCTTGCCACTCTACCCCATATCCCAGACATATGAAGAATACAGGAGATTGTCACATGTACCACACAGCCAGTACTTGCCAGATATTCCTGCAGCTCCTTTAATGTTGCTGTAGGCCTCTTGGCAGCCTCCCAGACCAGTTTTCTTCTCATCTTTTCATCAATTTTGGTGGGAAGTCCAGTTCTTGGTAATGTCACTGTTGCGCCATATTTTCTCCACTTGATGATGACTGTCTTCACTGTGTTCCATGGTATATCTAATGCCTTGGAAATTCTTTTGTACCCTTCTCCTGACTGATAACTTGTAGTAATGAGATTCCTCTAATGCTTTGGAAGTTATAAGAGGGTGTCCACACTATTTTAGTGTTCTATGTTTACTTTACTCCCCCCCCCCCCTCCCAAAAGATATCAGTTTGTTGTGCAACTGAGTTGTACAGTTTATAGGTCGCATTAAAGGTGGATAAGTTCTGCAATGATTTATCTTTGTCTCATTTTTCATCACAGAAACCTGACATTTTAATAGGGTGTGTAGACTTTTTATATCCACTGTACACTATAGTACACTCTTGTGATCAAGGCCTTAAAGTAGAACTATAGGCAGAACTTTTTTTTTTTTTCTTTTTTGGATAGAGTAAGGGAGGGTTATAACCCGTCAGATTATTTTTTGCCATCTGTGCCCCATTGAGGAGATTTACCTTCACTTCCTGTCCCATAGCCAAACAGGAAGTAAGAAAATACCTACGATTTGACCACCCTCCGCTCTATAGCAGAAATACTGCTACATGGTGGCATGGCTGCTTAAAATCCCATATATTTACGTGATTTGCATTTCCGGGTAGGGGGTCCGCATTTGCGCTGACCTGCTCACGCCAAAATTGGCTACTGGGTGTATCAATCACTGGGTCCCGGCTGTTGATTCCCGGCCGGGACTCGGTGATCATCAGCAAGGCTGAGAGGGGAGAGATTGGTGTGTATCTATGTATTAAGGTGATAAACTTTCAGTGCTGCACAATTTCCCCCCCACACTCCCCCTTAATCTTACCTGAGTATGATCCAGCCATGTACACACAAGCTGCTGTGGGCCAGCTCCCTAAATGTGCTTTGTGTGTCTATAGACGCACACAGCACAGTTTGGACACCTTCCCTCTTCACTGGTTTTCACTGACAGGAGAAGGAGCTAATGACTTATGCTGCCATCAGAGCCTCCAGTAGGACCAGGAGGAGGAGAGAAGAACTGCAGCAGACGGGCATGGCATTGGATCAAGAATGTGTTTAAGGGGGCAGCTGGGGAGAACTGCTATTGAAAAATGAATGTTTTTTCCTTAATGCAGAGAATGCATTAAGGTAAAAAAAACCTTTTACCTTTAGAACCACTTTAAGAAATAAGTGTGTCCCCAGAAAATAGAATGGATCCGTTTATATGCATTGGATTTCATCCCTCTAATGTTTTCCATTTCCTCTTTTTACAGCTGGCTCTCCTGGAGCAAAATTTCTTACCAACTACAGATGCCAAGTTGACCAAACAGCAGCTAATCTTGGCAAGTAAGTATATTCATTCCTAAGGTCTCGTTCTCACTGGGTGTACTACAGTGTACACCCATGAAGGATCATGTTTACCTGCATGGGGATGCACGGGTTTGCAGGCAGTCCTGTTGATGTCAGTGGTGACGCAGCAGCTGCTAATACACAGATGCTTTTCCCAATCTGACATCAGTGTTGGGAGCACAGCCTCTAACACAGACTGATGCCAAAGTGGTAGCAGCAGCTTTGCAGGCTGATATCCTGCAGGGAAAACCTGTGCATCACTATGCGGGTAAACAAGGCCCATGGGCATACACTTTAGTGAACGTGGCCTAAAACATTTTTTTTTCATAGCTTTCTTTTGAAATTGTTAGCAGGCAGCACTGTTATATGTGGCGGCACAGTGGCTTAGTGGTTAGCACTTTCGCCTGGCAGTACTAGGGTCGTTGGTTCAAATCCTAACCATGGCACCACCTGACTGGAGTTTGCATGTTCTCCCTGAGCCTGCGTGGGTTTCCTCCGGGTATTTCGGTTTCCTCCCACACTCCAAAGACATGCAGGTAGGTTAATTGGATCCTGTCTAAAATTGTCCATAGTATGTATGAATGTGAGTTAGGGACCTTAGATTGTACACCCCTTGAGGGTTAGGGACTGATGTGAATGTACAATATATATGTAAAGCGCTGCGTAAATTGACGGCGCTAAATAAGTACCTGAAATAAATAAAATAAATAAATATGTGTGCCCTCTGTGTCCAACTGGAATCAATGGAATCCTGCAGGAGTCTGTTTCCTTTCAACTACAACTGTAGGTCCAACTGTTCAGCGCACCGCATGAGAGGGGGACAGAGCTGCTGTGGAGAGGTGTGGCTCTTGCTCTGTGTTCCTCCTGCACTGGCTGTGTGTGTGGCACTTTTTTAGCAGTTGCATGTACAGTTTTATAGTTCAAAGCAGGAATGTGCACCTTGAGAAGACTCCTACAGTATTCTATAGGTCCCAGCAGCATGGGGGGGACACACATGACCACAATGTAGCAGAGCGGCCAGTGGTCAATTTCAAAAGGAATCTCCGAGGAGGAAATTTTTAACTTGCCTGCATTTGATGTTTGTTTTTGCTTTTTAACTTTAATACCCCAAAGAGGACCTGTAGAACTTTGCACACCTTTTTGTTTTGATGCACATAGAATGTATTTAGCCAATTTAAAATGAATGTTTAGTTGGGCTTTAATTTTTGGGAGGTGGGATTTGTTTTCAAGTATACACCAAACTTAAATAATATGGTGTCATTAGACAGCTGTGGTCCTATAATACTAACCTAAAGTTGGTCAGTTTAGTTCTAGACGGGTGCTGACGTATCATTTTATGACTGCCACTGACGACCTGAACCCTGCTGCTCAGATGTTGATTGACAATAGTTTTTGCTCTCTGCACAAAGAAAATGTTATTTTAGATTTTGTCCAATTACTGTCCTAATCAGCTGAGATTTGTTAATGCCGATTTCATGCTTTACAGTTCTACCATTTTATTTACAGGGGATGTTTTGGAGATTGGCGCACAGTGGAGTATTCTTAAGAAGGACATCCCGTCATTTGAAAGATACATGGCACAGCTGAAGTGTTACTACTTTGATTACAAGTAAGAATAGGTTGACACATCCAACTGCTGCTCAGAAAAACTCAAAAATGGGATGGTAAAGCAAGCACGTAACCTGACTGTACAGCAGGCACCTTAAGGTGGCAATTGCGGCCTGTGCGGTGCCACCTGTACCTCAGTACTTCTATTACATGGAAGGATAGTCAGTAAAACATACCTGCAGTACATTTTGCTCCATAACAGCATGACTCATGAGAGAGGTTGTCTCCTCACCCGAAAGGTACAGAAATAGACATTTATGCATTTTGACTCATCCTCTAGTTTTCTGCTCTTTTCAGGTCAGGAGCAGATGACACCATTCCAAAACCGAAAACCACTGAAAGTGCCTCTCTGCTGCCTGTACTTTCTGTTAACTGGGAGACCCATGGAGGTGACTTCTCTCTCTCCATCTTGCTGGCTGGTGGACACTAGGGAACTGGCGTGTATATTCTGCTTAATCCAATGTCCCTATACATACTGTAATGCAGTAATGATAGTGAGAGGATGGAATGAACTTCTATTTTATTTGTCGGTTGTCTGTCCTATGCACTTTTTCCAGATAATATATTATGCAGTCATGGGGTCCAAAATTTAGCAATCCCAATGCCCTTTCTTGTTGCTAGGACATGAAAACTGTTGGATGCTCTCTCCCAGCATTGTAGGAGTAAAAACCTATATATTTGTCCCTGGTCAGTGACTCAGAAGACATCGACTCCATAGATGGCTCAAATTTCAGACATTCCTGCTGAATTGTCTGAAATCTGAGCCATCGGTGGCCCTTCAAGCTGACTTGACAAAAGTAGATTTCAAAATTGTACAATTGGTGGCCAAATAGGGACTATATCCTATCAGATGCTGTCACTGTTTGGCAGCAACATTGTATTCAGACAGCCATGGGTACCATGGCTGCTGAATAAATAACTGACAGTGGTGTTTCCTCCATCCACAAGCCTAAACGATAAGTCCACCTTTTGTGTTACATTACTGCCATATTCATGTTTCAAACAGACTGAACCCAACCCTCCCATATCCCTCGTTGTGCCAGCTAGCAGGGCTTCTTCTTCCCCCCCCCCCCCCCCCACTAGCAGTCACAATTAAAAAAAAAAAAAAAAAAAAAAAAAAAAAGGGGGGGGGGGCGTGCAGGGCTCCGGCCACGTCGCTCATTTACAGTATTCTATGAATGAGAAATCTACAAGTTCTAACAGCCTTTGTGCTGTCGGCTTTTAGTTCTTGATGAACTACCACTGCGCTGTAGTAGTTAATTGAGTCTTCTTGTCAGAGTGTATCTGCTTGCCTGTGCGATGTACGGACACACAGATACACTGACAGGTCTGCAGGAGACCTGCATGGCACCAACATCCTGCTGATCCGTATTGCCAAGAAAAAAAAAAAAGTGCATTGATTATTTTTTGTTAAAAGGTGAACTTCTCTTTAAACTAGAGACAATTGAATCGTGTATAGCTAGCTAAACAATCCGCACAATATTAGAGCCATTGGCGTTTTCTGCAGGATGTCAGCACTGATGGCCTGCTTATTTCTTTGTTTCACAGGTTTGCTTACAAAAAAAAAGTCTGTACTTTAAATTGCTCCCAATCCAAGGTCAAATTTAGGGCTCATGCAAATGCGCATATACTGCCAGAATTCAGCTTACTTTTGTGTACAGCCGCGGCCAGCAGCCAGTTCAAATCAACAGGTTGGAGAGATGACACCGATGTAACTGCACATCCTAGCAGATGTGTACAGGGATGGATGAGTGGCCCTGGACACACAGGTCTTCCCAGGGCGTTCATCCATCTCTGTGACCTCTTGGATTCAAGGTGTGAGCCATGGCACCTGACAGCCTGTCATTGATTTGTCCAGGCTGCTGGCTGTGGTTGGATGCAGTAATACGCTGGCGGTGGACACCCCTCTGTTCCTGTGTGCATGAACCCTAAGTCTTCTAGCCCCCGGGAATGTATCTTGTCAGTGCGTTGTCTTTCACTAGCCTTAAAGACTCCTTGCGGTATGATAAATCTAATTATCCATTGTTCTATACTGACTGAAGCATTGTGTTTTTATCTTTTAAATGTTGGATGTTTTGTTTTTGCTCTTTTAGAGACGAGCTTCCAGAATCTGCATATAAACACCAGCTGCTTGGATTGAACCTCCTCTTCCTATTATCACAGAACAGAGTGGCCGAGTTTCACACAGAGCTGGAACGGTTACCTGCTAAAGATATCCAGGCCAACGTGTACATAAAGCACCCAGTATCTCTAGAGCAGGTATCTGTTATTACCATCTGTCCTAACAAACTATAGCAGCCATCCCCACAGATTGCACCTTGTATCCAGCAGCATCACATTGATAACCTTTCTCTTCCTGTTCTTCAGTACTTGATGGAGGGAAGTTATAACAAAGTGTTTCTGGCCAAAGGAAACATTCCTGCAGAGAGCTACACATTCTTTATTGACATCCTGCTGGACACTATAAGGTTAGTCGAGTATATGGATTGCACTGCAGTAGTTTTCAAAATTTTCTGCTTTCACACAGCCAGCCTTTTCATTTTAAAGCATTCCTGCAACTTTAAAGCTGAGCTTCAGGTATATATAAAATACACATATCAACGCAGCTCTACAGGTAGAGTAAGTACCGAAATCTGACCTGGAATCTGCCTCTTACAGTCCTTGTACAGCAGAGCTCATTGGGAAAGAAGCAGTGCAGAGAGCCAAATCAGAAAACAGAAGATGGAAAAGTTGCACACCGGAAACCAGCCACTATGCTGAAGGGTAAAGATACAGCTTCAGCCTGAACTCCTACTGACTGTGCTCCTCTAAGGAGCCATAGAAGAGCATAGCCAGGAGGATTTCTGGATGAAGCTGTATCTTTACCCTTCAACATAGTGCCTGGTTTCCGGTGTGTGGCTTTTCCGCTTTCTATTTTCCGATTTATTTCTGCCAGCTTAGAAGAGCTTGCTTGAATGTCAGCATCCAATTTTTTGCTTTGGACTGCAGGAGGAGTTTTTTATAATGCTTTGAGCAGCGCTCCAAGTTCTTTGTATATGGGTCAGTGCAAAGACTCATTAGTTCTGTAGTCTCATGTGCCAACAAAGCACATATTGATAGAAGAAGAGGGCAAAGTGACATGGAGTAAGTTGCTGATGCTTCACTGTCCAACCACAAGTTGGGGGAGCGATAAGACCTTTAAATGTTAACTGCAGCAGAGATAAATTGGGCTGTCCTATGTGGCAGTGCTGTTTAAATCTCAGAATAAGAAATGCAAATATTTGGCAGGAATGGGCCCTCTGAATGTATTTAGCTGTTTACCTGGAGTTCTGCTTTAAAAATTGCATATTTTTTTTTAAATACCATATCCTAAATTTAAATAGGGAGCCATCTGTAGGAGCCCCAATGTTCCCTCTTAACTCATAAAAAAAAAAACATTACCTCAGACAGCCAGTGAGGAGGTGTGATGGTGGTAGCAGAGCTCTAGAAGGTATGCTGTCACTAAGAGGGCACAGGAAATGAACCACCAGTGCTAAGAAGTCCTATAGGGTTTATATCATTTCACATATTTTACTGAAAGAATAGTGCAGTGTTTCTCAACTAGAGTTCTGTGCGAAGTCCCCAGGGGTTCTTCCGCAACGCAACATTATGGTGGATATATACCGCCTAATGTTGTGCTCACTGACAGTAGTGTCAGCGCATGTTGATACCTGGTACCTTTACTATAGTTCTGGCCCCTATAAAGGGACGGGGCCAGGATTAGTGCAAAGTGCGGGAGCTGAAGAAGGTGGCGGCTTTCTGTGACAGCGTTGAACACAGAGCGGAACCTACAGCTGTGGAGACGCAGAATACAAGGGGTGGTGGAGGGGGAGGATGGCAGTGAGCCACTGGAGCACATAGCTGGATCAGCAGGCAAGATCCTGTTACAGCCATGGTATTACAGAGTGCAGGGGGGAGGAAGCAGAAAGTTGCAAGAGCACGTGGCTGTATGGGAGGTGAAATCTTATAGATGCAGAGTGCTGGATGAGGGCCAGATAGGAGGCAGAAGGTGACATCCAGTATATGACAGCAGTGATGCAGACTGCAGAGAGTGGGAGCATATAGCTGGATCAGACTGAACGTAGCACAATGTGAGATGATACTAACTTGTTGTTATTGTGCCATAATGTACATAAAGCTTTTATGATCTCACCACCTGCGACATTTAGTCTCATCAAGCCACATGCTCCCACTCTCTGCTCCCCTTCTCTGCATTCAGCCCTGCCATACACTGGATGTCAGCTCCTCATCCAGCCATGTGCTTCATCTACAGCTCGCTAATCAGATCCAATGTTCCATCAGCTGTAGATCTGAAAAATTTTCAGGGTTTCCCTGAGATCTCAAACTTTTTGCAAATGTTCTTTGAAGGCAAAAAGGTTGAGAAACACTTGCCTTTGCCTTTTTGGTTCTACTTTTAAGATTTTCTAAAATTGACTCTACAGAAGAGAACGCACTGCTCATTTAGGGCGAAGTGACTGATTCTCTTGAACACTCACCCCCACCCCCTGATGTGGTTTTTCTATGTGCTCTCCTGCCATTTAGATCCTATATTAGAGAGTCAATATTTCAGCCCTTCGTCTTCTCCCAGCAGGACGTGCTACATAGTTTTGTTTCTTAAGTCTGGGTTTACTTTCGAATTTATATGGTGATGTGATGACTGTATTTATGTTACAGGGATGAGATTGCGGGCTGCATTGAGAAGGCCTATGAGAAGATCCTGTTTAATGAAGCCACCAGAATATTATTTTTCAACACTCCTAAGAAAATGACAGATTATGCAAAGAAGGTATTTATAACATTACTTGACCTCTGGGTGATTTTAGACTAATCAAACAGAGCCAGGGCATTGTGCAGTGATGCATAAAATATCTAGAGGTAATCTGCATCAAACTTAGATTACCAGGGCATTGTGCAGTGATGGCGATCATGTGTGATAAAAGATCATATCGGTAATCGGCATCAAGGAGCTTAGTATTACTAGTAACATACGCAGGATATATGGCGATCATGTGTGATGCAGAAAAGTTCATATAGGGAATGGGCATCGAGAAGCTCCGTATTACTAGCCAGATATGCAGGATGTATAGGCTACTAGAGGCAGAGCAGATTGGCTACCGCAATGCCTGTTGTAATAAATATTGACCACATAGGGAGTGCGTTGTTTTCAATCAGTTGGTTGACCCAGACTTGATGGAGCATTAAAGTACCACTGCTATGTTGCAATGCAAAGAAGAAAGTACAGCGTGAGTATATAATGAGCAAATGTTTCTGCTCCCATGTACACACAGTAAATTAGCTAAAAACAACGTACATCCAGCTCTTCAGATTGTGCGGACTTTACAGCTATGCTCTGCTGAATAAATGAGCCACACAGAAAACTGGAGTCCATGAGTGAAATGAAGGAAATGGTGGTTTATTCAAGAAGGCGCTTGCACCACTGTATGTTTAAAGCAGGGTGGAATAGAAACTGTCATCTCTGTCCCGCAGCGGCTACTCCTCTGACCTGCTGTTCAATCACCGAGAGTCCCATTCGCTTTAATGGGACGGCTGGTGTTGCAGCAGTGACACAACAAGATGAGGGATGTGGCGGCAGCAGGTGAGTGGATGTCCGCTAACAGGCGCTGCCATGATGGATCTAAATTGACAGGTGCTCTCTAAATGTAAGGAATCCGACGCATTCTTGCTGGTAGTTAGAATCTTTTAATATTTGCAAACCAAATGCAGGTTTCCTTTGTAGAATAATAAGCTGTCAGGTTAGTAAAACAGCGATATCAGAACCGATTTTAGATTAATAGGTTAATCGCACATAGTTGAACTACTCAAATTCTGTGAATGTATCAATGCAGTGCATGTTATCTCAGCTTGCAGAGCTTGGATTCATTGAATGAGTTTACCAAAAATGTAAATATTGCAGAATATACAGCCTCATGCTACATAACTAAGCTCCATTTCATGCTGAATAAATTAAATTATTATTGTATCTTAAATAGAAAAAACTATCTTTAGATAGATTTTTACACTGAAAGCATTTTATTAAAATAAATTTGATAAAAATCTAAAAAAATCCGATTTTAAATACATTTTTTTTTTTTTTAATGGATTTTTATCAACCCTGGTTTAAAGGCTGAAATTCCTCTTTAACGCCGCATGACTGGACTGAAGACAATTTGAAGAGATAATAAATTCACATATTTTTGAGCCTGCAAAGCATTGCACCTGTGATCGGTGGACTGGGGATGCAATGTTAGGCTCTTGTAATATCCTATTCAGCACGCTGCATATTTTGTTACGTGCTTTCAGTTGAGAGGTGGAGAAAAGTTCAGTGAGCTACGAGTGCACTGATTATTGAACTCGTAGTTCATTGAGAATTGGCAAACGGGACTTGTGGTTCATTTATTTACAGATCCCTGTTAAATATATCAGCAGCAGCAGGGGAGAAGGACCCTTGCCCATTGTCACATAGGTGAGAGAAGAGGCATTTTCACCATGGTGCCCCTAATTACAGGTGTAACATGAACCAAAAGGTGAACTTAGTCTTTAAAGGCCAGCCACACAGGTTCACGACCTATTCTCCCCCCACCTTCAAGCTTAAATCCACTGCAAATTAAAAAAAAAAAAAAAAAAATTCTAGTCGTGTGATGTGAGGAATTTCACCCTGTAATGAAAAATGTAAAAGTCAGCAGCTACAAAAACTGTAGCTGCTGACTTTTAAACACACACCTACCTGTTCCAGGATCCAGCAATGTCCTCATCCAAACTGGCTCTTTGCCCTGTCTTCAGGTGCCGGCATCTTAACTGTGGGCCTAGCTGACTGTGACTCCTTGCATCTTCACAGCCTACTGTGCATTCACGAACCTCCACTATGATCGTCTGGGTGGTCAGAGCAGATGTGGAAGCAGGTATCTGTCAAAATCAGGTACTTGCTCCCTGCTCCCCCCCCCCCCCCAACTTCTTCCAAAAAAAATTCCAAACATGGGAGAGGGGGGAGGAGGAAAAGCAGAACTTCCCCTTTTTGGTGAAGGTCCACTTTATGATCCTTAATTTTTCCCAGTACATGGATCCTAAATGCTAGAGAGAGCAGCACCATGACATAGTTACGTGGCTGCTGTAGTTTTGGAGTAAGCTCCCGTTAGTCCAGAGTGGGGGGTGCAGAGCTTTCCTACCCTGGGCTTCACGCTAAGTGGGTTGAATCATTCGGAGTGCCATTTAATGCGGAGTGCCATTTAACTCAAAGTAGAGAGCGGCACAGTATTGCTGGTGCAGGTTGGGGGGTGGGGGGTCTTGAGCAGTAGAGGTAAGCATAGCATCTGGACCTGTTTTGTATGTGTGCATGTCCTTTTTTTTTTTTTTTTTTTTTTTCTTTTCTTTTTTTTTTTTCCTCTCTCTATAGCAGAGGCCAGGGACTGAAATTTTTTTGCTTTCTGCCCAAGCTTGATTTGAGCTTTGTAACACAGATTGATTGACATAAGCTGGTCTCATTTGCTTTGAAAATGCTATACATTCCATTTAATCAAGAAAGCTAAATGATTGCTGTAAAATGTAGATCTCCCTCTGGTAGCTAATCTACAGAACTTTGTACGGTAACTACATGAAAGCAAACCATAGATGTGTTGACCTGAAAATGTTATTGCAATTATGATTTTAAACCCAGCTGGCATAGTGTTAGCGCTTGAAATCTCAAACAAAAACAATTGGAATTTTTTCTTTTTTTTTTTGTGGTCTACAGCGCGGCTGGGTGTTGGGCCCAAACAACTACTACAGTTTCAGCAGCCAACAGCAGAATCCGGAGGAGGCCACAATCCCATCCACAGAACTAGCCAAGCAAGTGATCGAGTATGCCCGCCAGCTGGAGATGATCGTATAAAGACAGGAAGTCAGCACAGCCAACTTCCCACTTGTGTTCTCTTTTCTGGTCTCTCTGCTCATTCACCGGTTTTACTCATATTTTATAGACAATGTAGGTTGGGGCAGGGAATCTTTTCTAAAACGTGCAAACACCCTTCAACAGGCCTGGCTGATGGAGAACTTACCCTTCACCATGACTTAAAACCAATCTTCATTTGTAAGGAACCTGGTGCATACAGGAGGAATTAATATGTTTCTAAAGCGATAACAATGTATTTGTTACTTTGCTCAGTAAAGGAGCCAAAATACAAACAATTTGTAGTATTTGTTTTACATTTGCAGGTTGCTCAAGTTTTCAAAAAGGTAGGTGCGCCAGCGCCAGCTTTCCGGTTTGATGTATTACCCATCTAGTGGTCATTAGAATTAATGCTAGTGTAAAGGGGAGCTGGTAGGTTCTAGATAAGGGTGATTATTACGAATATAGCTTTTACAGAGACACTGCTGCAAGACCATATTTTTAACAATCATTTTCTCATAAGATTATATATGCTTTTAATGTATTTTATGCACATTTTATTTACCTTGTAAAAGCTTTCTTTGTGTAGACTTCCAGAAGCCCTGAGACTTCTGCTGAGCTCCACCATGTAATCTCGGCAGACTCTAAGCCATCATTCATGTGACACTCTATACCAGGGGTAGGCAACCTTGATTTGCATGTTTAAAGGCCAAATTCACCTTTATGAACATGTTACACCTGTATTTAGGGTGTAACATGTTCAGCATGCACCCCCTCCTGGTGTAGCAGGCAGAGAATCCTCTCCCCACACCCTCTATCACAATTTGAAAAACAGCCTGGCTGTGTGGGACTCCGCCTAAATGGCTGTGTCATTCAGTTTCCTGTGAATAAATATAAATGGACTATAAATACTGTCAGACTTTGCTGCTGACGGCTTTTAGTTCTCAAAGAACTATGAGGGTGCTGGTGAGTGCTCTTCTAATCCATTTATCTTCCTGCTCTAAAGTAACTGTCTACCCATATGGGAGGTACTGGCAGGCAGCTATCCTGAGAGTCTGCAGGAGCTTGATATTGCACTCTCAATTTGCTGATCGTGGGTGCAATGCACTGTAGGCTTCTTAGGGGAAAAAAAAAATACATTTTTTATTTTTTTTTTTTCAAAATGTAAATGTATCCGTTTAATTGAATGTGCTGATGCAGCATGATTTTACACTATTTTGTTTCCTGGCAAACCTTTACATGCATCTTTTATGAAATATGCAAATAATGTCCCGCATGTGCAAAATTAGATTTACCCACAAGTTGCAAATCAGTTTCCTGTCTAAAGGTCACATTCAGACCCATTTGGTGTTTCCCATTTTCTGTTTGGTGTTTGTAAATTAGCCCAGTCTTTTACGTCATTTTACATAAGTGTTACACAAGGTCTCTGTGTACTTACTTTTAAAGACAACTTGTCAGCCCTTTTTCTCTTTTTAAATATGAAGTCCTGACTTAGTAGGCACTCTGTGGAGCCTACACTATTACCTTTTATTAGTTAGAATGTCCTTTTTCTGTGTGCCTCTCTGATTCTGGCTCTACTTTTAATAAGGGTTCTAGTTGACCATCATCTTAGCTAAACACTATTCACTATCCATCCTTTCAAAAGACACTGTACATTATGCAAGAAGGCTTTCTTTTGGGCATATGGCTAAAGCTGGCCCTATTTATTGCTGGTTTGGCTGAAATTCGAGCAATGTTATCCTGCTGGCACCCCTTTGGTCAACCAAAAGTGGATCGGTCAATCAAGTTTTGTCAAAGGTTCCTGTATAAAAATTGTTGGTCAAACGGCACATGCTTCCAATCAGATGCAGCACTGAGTATTTTGATAGCTGGCGACTATTGGAGTACAAAATCTGAGCAATGTGGGTTCATCCTTTCTCACTGTTGGTGTGGATGGAAGAATCTGTTAGATTTTTAACAAATAGAAATATACACTGTATTGCCAAAAGTATTTGGACCCCCCTCTGAATCATTGGATTCAGTTGTTCCAATCACCACCATGGCCACAGGTGTATAAAATCAAACACCTAGGCATGCAGACTGCTTCTACAAACATTTGTAAAAGAATGGGTCGCTCTCAGGAGCTCAGTGAATCAAGCATGGTACCATGATCAGTTGCCACCTGTGCAATAAGTCCATCTGTGACATTTCCTTCCTACTAAATATTCCATGGTCAGCTGTTAGTGGTATTATAACAAGGTGGAAAAACTGGGGGAACAGCAACTCAGCCATGAAGTTGTAGGCCACATAAAAGTACAGTGTGGTCAGTGCATGCTGAAGTGTGCAGAAGTTGCCAACTGTCTGCAGAGTCACTAGCTAAAGACCTCCAAACTTTGTGTGGCCTTCAGTTTAGCACAACAACAGTGCGTAGAGAGCTTCATGGAATGGATTTCCATGGCCAAGCAGCTGCATCCAAGTCTTATATCACCAAGTGCAATGCAAAGTGTCAGATGCAGTGGTGTAAAGCATGCCACCACTGGACTATAGAGCAGTGGAGACGTGTTTTCTGGAATGACGAGTCACGCTTCTCTGTCTGGCAATGTCTGGGTTTGGCAGTTGCTAGGAGAACGGTACTTGCCTGACTGCATTGTGCTAAGTGTAAAGTTTGATGGAGGGGGAATTATGGTGTGGGGTTGCTTTTCGGGTTGGGTTTGGCCCCTTAGTTCCAGTAAAGGGAACTCTTGAGGCGTCAGCATACCAAGACATTTTTGGACAATTTCATGCTCCCAAGTTTGGGGATGGTGCCTTCCTGTTCCAACATGACTTCACACCAGTACACAAAGCAAGGTCCAGAAGGACATGGATGAACGAGTTTGGGGTGGAGGAACATGACTGGCCTGCACAGAGTCCTGACCTCAATCCAATACAACACCTTTGGGATGAATTAGAGCGGAGACCACGAGCCAGGCCTTCTCATCTGACATCAGTGCCTGACCTCACAAATGCACTCCTGGAAGTATGGTCAAACATTCCCATAGACACACTCCTAAACCTTGTGGACGGCCTTCCCAGAAGAGTTGAAGCAAACTGTGGGCCAACTCAATATTGAACCCTAAGGACTAAGGCTAGGATGCCATTAAAGTTCATGTGTGCGTAAAGGCAGGCCGACCAATACTTTTGGCAATATAGTGTATCTAGGCCCTCACTGTTCCACATCCTAAAAATTGTACATGTTTCTTTGGAACAAATGTTACAAAAAGAGAAAAGCAGACTTTATTGGCACAACATGAGGCAACTTAAATTAATGAAAATTCCATAATTTTATTTCCACATAGTAAAACAGATAATAAAACTGATGCAACACCATTGAATTACAATATGTCTGATGCTAGCTGACACCCAACAGTGAGATGGAGTCTGGAACTAGGCATTACATAAAGAGCAAATATCCATGTGTAGTAATCATATATGTATAGCTATTATGACATAGTATTAGCTGAGCTCTCTGGATCATAGGTCACAGTGTCTCTATACTCAAAAGTTGCCGCGTTTCACAAACTTTTCTTGCTTCCTCAGGACTGGTTGGTTAGGTTTACCATGAACTGTAGAATATAACGAATGTGTATAAATATACTGTAAACACATTTTTATCAACAATAAACACTATCACACCAATTATATACAGTTAGGTCCATATATATATTTGGACACCGGCACAATTTTATAGATTTTTTTTTCAGGTATTTACCAAAACATATTCAAGCTATAGTTCTATAATGGATATGGGCTGCAAGTGCACACTCTCAGGTTTAATTTGAGGGTATGTACTTCCAAAATGGAGGAAGGGTTTAAGAATTACAGCTTTTAAGAGTAGCCATCCCCCATTTTTCAAGGGACTGAAAGTAATTGGACAATTGAATCAAAAGCTGTTTCAGGGCCAGGTGTGGGCTACTCTTTTGTAATTTCTTCAATTAAGCAGGTAAAAGGTCTGGAGTTGATTCTAAGTGTGGTATTTGCATTTGGAATCTATTGCTGTGAACCTACATCATGCGTTCAAATAGTTGGCCATGCAAGTGAAAAAAACCATTGTAAGGCTTCAAAAACAAAAAAAATCCATCAGAGAGAGAGAGCAGCAACGTTAGGAGTGGTCAAATCAACAGTTTGGTACATTCTGAGGAAAGAAGAACACGCTGGTGAGCTTAGCAACATGAAAAGGCATGGACGTCCACGGAAGACAACAGTGGATGATCGCAGGATCCTCTCTATGAAAGAAAAACTCATTCACAAAATCCAGACAAGTGAAGGACACTCTCCAGGAGGTGGGCGTATCATTGTCAAAGTCTACAATCAAGAGAAGACTTCACGAGAACAAATATAGAGGGTTCACCACAAGGTGCAAACCATTTATAAGCCTGAAGAATAGAAAAGCCAGATTAGACTTTGCCAAAACAACATCTAAAAAAGCCAGACCAGTTCTGGAAAGCATTCTTTGGACGGATGAAACTACAATTAATCTGTACCAGAATGACAGGAAGAAAAAAGTGTGGAGAAGGCTTGGAACAGCTCATGATCCAATGCACACAATGTCATCTGTAAAACATGGTGGAGGCAGTGTGATGGCATGGGCATGAATGGCTTCCAGTGGGCGCTGGGTCATTGGTGTTTATTGATGATGTGACAGAAGACAGAAAAGCCGGATGAATTCTGCAGTGTTTAGAGATATACTGTCAGCCCAGATTCAGCCAAATGCAGCAAAGTTGATTGGACGGCGCTTCACAGTACAGATAGACAATGATCCAAAAACACACTGCAAAAGCAACCCAGGAGCTTTTGAAGGAAAAAAAGTGGAATATTTTTCAATGGCTGAGTCAATCACCTGATCTCAACCCAATTGAACATGCATTTCACTTGCTGAAGGCAAAGCTAAAGGCAGAAAGACCCGCAAACAAAGAACTGAAGGCAGCTGCAGTTACAGCCTGGCAAAGCATCAGAAAGGAGGAAACCCAGTCTTTGGTAATGTCCAT